AAACAATCAATAAGTAGGCACAAATAAATGACTGACATTAATGCCATACACTTCCTGTGTGCCGCTGTCAGGCTACATGTTAATTTTCGGCGCTGCTGAACAATTGCGCAAAACAATTTATTATTATGTGAATGGTCACAAATCAATGGCGACGAGATCCCCAATCAAAGCCCCTTTGAATAGCGTCTGCTTCCCTAACTATGGCATATACTATAGTGGTGTCATAAATACCAAAACCTGACCTGTGGGCGTGACAGTGGCTTTGCAATTATGGCTAATTGCAACTCACGTTTTTATTGTGGCATTGTTTTTGCCCCTGCCTCCCTGCCCTCCTGCCAACCTCCCTGTTGCTCACATTTCATTAGGAATTTATGTGCGAATGCCGCGGGCTGTGAAGTTGTCGGATTGCTTTGGGCTCCAGGCTCAATTCGATTAGCCATTATAAAAGGCTGTATACTTTCACAAATACCAACATACGCGCACACATACCTGCACATATTGATTGGTCGCGGCCAAAAAGCAAGCTATACACATAACATAAAACTTTGTTGCCTACCTTTGGGGGCACGCAGAGCTTTTGACTTCCAGCTCTCAATACACTAGTCACCTGAATTATTCGTCTAAGACGAACTTTTATCAGTCCCAACTAAACACGTACTAGAGAATTAATTCACTTAGAAGGGAAAATACGACACAATACTTATTGTGAAGAGAACGCTTTACATTGGTCATATAAATAAATGGACACAATTTATTGCGATTATAACAATTAGTAGTTTAACTATGGGTCTATTAACGGTTATATTGTTATTAAATAGTGTTTATTTTTCATTCAGTTTCAAACCTATTTGTAATAAATTATTGATCTATATTTTTTTAATTTGGTATCCAAAGGTGTTATTTGTTTTGGCATTTAAATATAGAGATTTATTCCACTATTTTATTTTTTAACATTTCCCTTTTTTATTTACATTTATTTCTGTGCTCTGTTTTATTTGTTACAAAGGTGGAGCCATTATATTGCCTTTATATTCAGAAGTTGGACTTGTTTAGGGAATTCTAAATTGACAATTTGTCAACATATATATGCCGATTAGTATTTTGGCAAAGGCGATGACGCGTTGCGGCTTCCGTGTATGGCTTTCATTAGCGTTTTGTCGCCGCCTCAGCAACATAAGGGTATTTCAACGCTTTACTATAATTTCGACAACATTTTTTCGCATTTTTCGCAGTTGCGTGCGCTTCTGTGTTTGGCCTTTGGCCAGGCTCAGAATGATTCGTAAGTCTGACTGGCTAGCTGGACTCACACACACACACCCATACACATACAGACACACACACAGCGGCAGCTAGTTAGTGGGGCGTGTGTTGATATATAAATGGGCAATATATTTGTGGTATATTGGATTATAGCTAGCAAGCGCTTTAGCTGGTCTCTTACTCGGCGATTAGCACGTGTGCCCCACAAATATGACTTAACGCCTCACCTGAAGGTGAAAGTTTAATGAATGCATAGCGTGTGTTTGTGTTTGGATCGAACTAAACGCTCAATGCTGGCAAAACCTTGCAATCGACCGCCACGCACTGTTGATAGCATATACTATATACTTATTAATAATTTGCCATAATTTGTTGGAAACTCAACTCAGGCAAATTATTCTATAATTTGCGCCAGAATAACTAAGTAAGCAAACAAATAAAGAGTCATCAAATGACAGCAAAAAGAACAACTACAGTCAAGACACAAATGGGACTTTGAATGGTTGGACAACTTCCAGAATTTCGAAATGATCTCACGGGGTGACTGAAATCCATGCACGGACTCTAGCACCGAAAGCGCGACTATAAATAATATATAAAACATTGGAATGGTATAGTTTAAACAACGAGTTTAATAACAAACATCAAAGTCAAACGCTCAAAACATATTTTGACCTTTACATTTATTTTTTGTACAAAAATAAATTCGCAAGACCCCTCTTTTATGCAAAGCGATAATAATCAGAATGATAAAGGAATATATAGTCCATTTTTGGACATATTTATTACGAATAGGCAATTTGAAAAGGTATTTCAAGTTATTGAGAACTTCTCATTGATTTCCAAATAAAAATATTGAAATTATTAATCGCTGATCTGCTTCGGAAAAAATCTCTTTATTTTAGCAGAATAGTTGAAAGGTATTTCGCTTAAAAAGGAAACTCTTTCATTTCAAAACGGAAACAACCCGAATGGTTATCAGGACAATCGATCACTTCAATACTGGCTGATCATTTTTCATGAAAATAACAACGACAACAATGTATTAAAATTATTAAACTCTAGGACAAGCAGAAATTAATTTGAATACATTTCTTAACGGCAACAAAGCTAAATCGTGTTTATTTTACATAAGTGATGACTTTTTAGTTATCCTATGCCAGATATTTTGGGTTTTCAATAACCTTACTCCCGCAGGCGTTTGATTTCTACTAAATAGGGAATTTTTTTGGGTACTAAGTATTGATCGTTGGGCAGTGGACTGCGGTTAAATTGCATTTTTTAAGCAGACTGGTTAATAGATTCTTATATGGCTTAAAAGCCAATTAAATATATCTCACATCAATGTAAACAACTAAATGTGCGACCAACTGAAGTCCTGCTGTACATTGCAGCCAAGAGTCTGTTTGTTGTGACCGTTTCAGCCACTTACCATGTCAATCCGTTGGCTGCGTTCTGTCGCGGCTCGTCGTCAATCAGCGTCGCAAATTGTTGATTACACCTACATTAAGTCAAGGGCAACAGAGGCAGCAGCAACAACTACAACAACTACACTTAGAGTATTAAATGTAGAGCACAGAACCTGTCGTGTGGGGTCGTGGTCCGATCGATAGACTTTATGTGGGAGCTTGCCAGTCGACACTGTTGCGATTTTGCAAACGAAAAGTGGACGAAAATAAAGAAGAATAAAGTCAGCGACATGTATAAGTATATGTACATATATGTATATATGAACTATATAGCATATATGTATGCCTATATATCCGCCCAGTATATAGGACATGCTTGCTCCCGCTCCCACTCCCTCTCCCTCTCTCGCTATGTGTTTGTGTGTCGTTTTATTTGCCTTATTACTGACACGCAGCATATTTAGTAGCTGGCTTAGTCGCATTGACTTGTTTATACTAGTATGTGAAGCTATATGACTGGGCTTTTGGCTTTTCGCGCTGCCACCCCCCACCCACATCGTGTTACTCATTAGAGTGTCTAAGTGTGAGGTCTGCCATGTGCCTCGGCCCGTGTGTGGCTATGTGCGGGCGTTGTTGCATGTATCTCGATGTGTGTGTATGTGTGCGTGTGTGTGTCTGTATATTTAGTTTATTTATGCATGTATTGGAATAGTCTGTGTAAAAATTGAAGTGACATTGACTTTTGTTTGTTTGTTTGTTTGTTTTGGCGCAAGTCGTGCACAAAAATTGAATTGAAAAGGCAAATAAACAGTGAGCTCTATATAATTACGAGTATATAAGAAATGCATACTTACGGTAATGCAGGTAGCGTCATATTTGTTCAACTACTTTTATTAAGGTTGCCATCCAGCAGTTGCTCTCGAAATGTGCCCTCACATTCTTTCTAGTAGTGCCTTTCAATCGGCGCTCTTCTTCCTTTCAAAGGGTTGCACGATCTAAAATTTTAACATTTAACAGAGTCAGTCTCGATGTATAAGTTGTTAAGACCAAGGCAATTGTTATATACTATCTGACACCTCCCTTAGCAACACTATGGTTTTTGAGGATCTGGAATCGTTCAGTTAAAAACTCCTCTTGCACAGCACGATCATGTAGTTTAGAGAACCAACATTGATCATAGTTTAGAGCAACTCTATGGTTTTAGCAACAGCCATGTTTATTACTATATGTTACTTTTGGCTGGAATAACTATGGGTTTTCAGGACCTGATATATTGCAAGCCAACGGCCATAGCGCTTTCTGTGTGTTGATCGCCAATTTCTTTTACTGTTTTATACATTTTATATAAATTGATGTTTGCAAATGATTGTTCCAAACCAAACCAATAATGAGGATACGTCGGTTTGTCGTGATATTGCAAATATATACATAGGAATACTTTGACTACTATATTTTCGACCGACCTACTTGATGCTGACTGCTGAAAGTTTTGGTTTATTTGCATGGCTATGACACGCCTGTTGCCATGTCTTGTTGGTTAGTCTTAACAGCTACGGAATGCGCATATGTAATAACTGTATTTATTTGACTTACTCTATTACTCAGTTATGTATGTCTTTAATTAATCATAAGTTCAAGTTGTTTGTGTCTTGCCGTGCGCTCTCTGTGTGTACAAAAAAGAAATACTTTAGTCCCCCGTTCTGTGTTCTTACTATATATTTGATAATTTTGTGTTCACGTTTCCACTTCTTTCCAATTGTTTCTTATTTATTGTTTATGTTTACCTAACTGTTCACTGTTTACTCCTTAACTTTACTCTCTATGTGTTTATTATGCCTATTACTAACAAAAGAAAACAACGAGTTCCACGTAATTGGCTGCCAACTGTTACATATTGATGTTGTAATTGAAATTCGAGACGAAAAAAGTTAACAACAAAATATTTATACATACTCGAACTACTTTATCAAAACTTTTTATGAAATGGAATTGAAAATTTGATTGCTTTTGCATTTAGTCGTTCGTTACTTCCTGTGATGAATTCTATTTTGTATGCTTTTGAAAACAAACTTAACCAAAAAAAACAAAAATGAAAAAAAAAACAGAAAAACTACCACCCAGCGCCGAGCGCTCTCACACCGTCCAACTAATCACAGTAACTGTATATAAAGATATATATATATATATATTTTCTATGCATTTTCCCCTCCTCAAATACGTCACTCGGCACCCCAACAAAACCACAACAACAACAACACTGCACCACTGTCGTCGCTGTCGCTATCGCTGTGGCTATCGCTGTGGCTGTGGCTTTGGCTGTCGGTAATGCAGTGCGCACAAGGTCGGGCCGCATGGCTGGAGCGCGGCCGTCGCTGCAGCGTGCAGGAGCAACAACAACAGCAGGCCACCTGCCATCGCCGTTGGGTGAAGCGCAATCGAGTAAGTTTCACCAATCACGCCCACTCAATCCACGTAACGGTAGTGCTACATAGCTGTATATTTACCTTGTATCTGTATGATCATTGTAGCCTTGTGTGCTTCTCTCTTTCAACCAAAAACAAACACCTTTCACTTTTCTCCTCTTAACTCTATCTTGGACTCTCTTCCTCTCTCCCTTTTCCATGCAATCTGAAAATAAAACAACAAAAAACATAAACATAAAAGAAAAACAAAACCCCTTCCGTTCAGTGTATTGGCTCGCTAGGTGGCGCTGCAGCTAAAAATTAGAACCCCAACAAAAACAAGTCCCCAAATATTTGCAGTTTTAATTCAACTGATTACCAAAATAATGTCCATCCTACCTGTTTTATTCGCCCCGTTAGATACAAGATGCCTCGTTGGGTGGATCCTCGGACGATGAAGACTTCCTGGGCGTTCTACGTGGTCCCAGCACCTTCGCCAATGCATTCCTGTACGTGGGCCTGGGAACTGTGGCCCTCGGCTTGGTCATCGCTTTTGTCGGCACCGGCGAGAAGGGCTTCAAAACTGTGGAACTAAGACTTATAGGGCCCTCCCTCATAGGCAAACAACAACTGAATTTTCCAGCACCCATCAAGCAAACACTAATGGCTTCTTTTCCCCCCTTTTGCAGGACTGGGTCTAATTTGTTGCATTTTACGCATTCTCTTCTGCATCTGTCCATCGCACTGCATTTCATCAAGCAAGAAGACCCGCAAGAAAAACGGAAACAAGATCGATGCGGATCATACGACTTCATTGCTGCGTGGCGAGAGCAAACGGGTCTCCATAGCACGAGGACCCAGCGCACAGGTAGATCCCAACTAAAGTCGAGATATTTCTGAACACTATCTATATCTTTGACAGCCCAAGTATCCAATCGCGCACAAGCGAAGTCAGAGCAAAATGCTTAATGAGGGCATGGAGGCATTGCGCCAGATAGCCACGACATCGCTTTTCATGCAGAACGAGCAGAAGATGGCCATGAATCGTGTAGTGCCTATTATTAATGAGCCGGATAGTGCGGAGCACAAAGGTGAATATACTAAACGGCTTTCTTTTTGTAGATCGGGAGAGAACAATCTATCAGCATTTACATATTCGAAATGTGGATAATTGTACGATTTGTTTAAAATACTTGCAAGACTTTGTTGCTAAGGCAGCTATGGAATAAAGTGTGCCGATATGGGTGAACCTTTAGACTATAGTCAGACCAATGCACGAATTTGTTTCTTCATTTTAAATTAATAATCAGTATTGGAACACTATACTCTACTCATAATAATGCCGATATTTGTGCATAAAAAGCAACATGATATGAGTATTGTTAGATAATAATAATAGAATCTTTTTCATTATAAGAATAATGCTCCTATACAAATAAATTAATATTTTTTAGACGCTCCGCTGGAAATGAAGAAGCTGCAAACGGCTCTAAATGTCTGTGAGGTGAGCGATGAGGAAGATGTTGCCGATGAGGATGAACAACGGCAGCAGCAGCAGCAGCAGCAACCGCAGCAGCAGAGACAACAACATGTTGCCAAACGTACAACAGCAACAACAACTGCCCTAACGAGTAGTACCACCAAGTCCACATCAACAACAACAACAACAACAGCAGCAGCAGCACCAGCAGCAAAAGCAATAACAACAACACTAAGCACCGTAGATGAGAAACCGGACAGCAAATTAGTGAGACAGCGTGTGACGCTGCAGCAGCAACGGCAACAACAACAGCAACAACAACAACAACAGCAGCAACAACCTACACAATCACAATCGCTGTCCTCCTCCTCCACCGTTAAAGACTCCCTGGATGGCGTCGTTGAGGAAACTCAGCTCGTGGAACTGCAACGATTGCCCGTAGCCAGCAGCAGCAACGTTGCAGCGGCGGAGGCGCGACCGTCCATGCTGAAGAGCAACACGACGGCGTTCAGCAGCACTCCGCAGCGTCCCGGCGTCTCAACGGGCGCCACACCCAAGACTTCAACAGCGCCCACCAGTGGCAGCGGTACGAGCGTCTACACACGTCTGCCCACATCCCTCTCCCAGCCAATGAGCTACGATCTGCCGCCGGCGATGCCGCACACCTACTCGGCATCGGCGACGGTTCGCGGACCGCTCGGCATGTCGCTGGCAGCCTCCACTTCCGCCTACAGCGTCTCTCTGGCACCCAAAGTGACGTCGTCGGCAACAATGGCGTCCGGCTTTGTGCCGCCCACGAGCACAACAATAAGTCTGCTGCCGCTGCCAGCGCCCGCAGCAACAACAACAACAGCAGCAGCCAGCATTCCCGGCCAGGTGTTGGAGGGCACGAGTGGAGCAGCAGCCACAACAACAACTAGAACAAGTCTGAGCATAGTAGAGCCATCGGCGTTATCGTTATCGTTATCGCGACCAGCCTCAGCAATTAATTATGCCTCGGCATCGGCCTCTGCCTCTGCTGCCGCCCACCTGCTGCCCGCACACAAATCACAGCCGTCGTCCGCTTCGAGCATGGGGCGTGGCAGTCTGCTGCTGTCGCCCCCAACAGTGATGTCAACAGTGACGGCGGTTGCGGCGGCGGCAGCGGCCAACAAATTTGAGCCAGAATTGGTGCTCAGTCCTGCAAAGCTCGGCCAGTAAATTTTTATGGTATATGTATATGTGTGTGTGTGTGAGTGTGTCTCCTTGTGTGTGTGTGCATGTGTGCGAGTGTGTGAATTTAGTTACGATTTTAGTTAGTTAGGTTGTCATGCAGCTATATCTACATATATATGTATATCTAGTAATCGTTCAGATCCCAATCCTCTATCTAAGTGTGTCCTTATAGCAGGGGCGTGTGATTTGGGGCATCTGCTCATCAGAATGCAACAAACTGCTCCCATTAGCTAACTTCCGCTCTTCTACCCTAACATGCATGTTGATCGCTGAGGAACAACTCACAGACTTGTTATTTTAGTTTTTTTGCTTAGGTTTTCGTGAAACTAAAGCCATGTCTAAAGTTTGGAGAGACTGCCAATTGGAGGCCCATTCAATAGTTTCGATAGTGGTTATTTAAACAATCGATACGATCGGTAGCATTATAAAAATCAATTTAAAGTATATAAGAACATTAGAGGAAAGGAAAAACTCTGCAACGATTTACAAACTATAAGCCCTTCGCTTTATCTTTACAATGTTTGTAGCTCTCTGTGAGGTGTTTGCCTGCGATCAATTATCTCATTCGGATTCTCAAATCGAACACTCTATCTCTCTCTCTATTGACTGTGCCACAAGAAAACCTGGAAGCACTTAACCAGGACAGGAACATAAATACAAGCATTCACATTTCAAACAAAAGATCGGCGTCATCTTGATGCTGAAATTCTTGGGCCCTTCTATGCTTCAAAATGCTTTTCCACATGCCCCTCCCTGGTCTCATCCTTTGATTCTGTGGCACCATTTGGCCAAAAGCTCAGCATTATTGCCGATTCATCGTCCTCGAATCTCGAGCCCCTTTCCTGCTGCCCTCATTAAGGGTCCTATAAAGTTTGTATACCAACATATCGTTAAATAAATAACAACAAGTATATAATAGAAACCAAAGTAAACTACTGATGCTAAAAAGGTTAAAGATTGCCGACGCCTCGTCCAATTGGTTCATAAATGGTTCGAAGTTGGCAAAGGAAACAAAAAGATAACGAAACAATTATGTAAAGCTTAAAGTCATGTAATTAGATATGTGTATTCAAAAATTGAAGGTACTTTAAGTTGAATTAAAGCTGACTATTAAATGATTTATATAATAAAGCAATTGTTAAGCTAAGCATGAAATATGAACAGCATTGAAGCCAAGAATGTAAAAATACAATCTAACAGAAATGTAATGAAATTATAAATAAAACCAAAAACAGATAACGAACCAAAAGAGTTCCGGAATCTATTAGGCTTCGATGTCTAATGCGCAATATAACAAAGAGCTCAACCGGAAATTTAAAATTAAAATTCAAAACAATGCTAATTACATTTTTCAAAAGACGAGAAATAAAACATAAAAATAAAATATGAGAGACAAATTTCAAATTCGGGCCACAAATATTTAATTTTCTTAGTTTAATTAAACGAACGATAAACTTTTGGATATTATTATAATATTTTCAATTCTTTGCAACATTTTTACAGTTCTAAGCAATTTTGTACACAATTTTGAAAAGCAAACAGATTCTTTCTCACTTAACTATTGCCCACAACAAACCCAGATTTAATAAAAATTCGAAGAAGCACTACAAAGAGATCAAAAAAATAAGATAGACACAGAAAATTAAAACCAACTACAGTGTGCTAAAATAAAAAATAATGATGCAGACATATGGCATATAAAAAATGTACAGCAATCGAGAAAGTAACGGCAAATAATTGAAAATTATAATACAAGAAAGTAAATGATGAATTAGTATGTATGTATATGTGCATAATAAAAGAATATAAATAGAAAATGAAATGGCTTTTCTTTGCTGGTATTTCCCAAGACAAAACGAGCTTCAGAAGTCAGTCTGGGATAGCGATATATATCCGAACGACATATCGCCACCGAACTAAAAACGAAATATCTCCGCGCGGATAGCTGGCGCCATCTATGAAACCAACCCAACAAACTATAACGCTTGCATAGATGGCGCAAGTACTAAATTTTTCCAAAGTAACGAAACACTGCTTGGTGTGCAGTTGGTAGGGCTGCACCCAGCTGACTAAGGAATGTAGGCCTTGCTTGCAAATTAGAATAAAGATAATGGCATGAGCGCTTTAAGAGCGGAAGAGTTAGCAAATGAATAAAAGAGAGCGCACTTACGGGTACGACTCCGAATCCAACGGCGAAAGATATTTCGGCGATGAACGGCAGGCTTTACTCAACAAGTTTGTTGTTGTTTTTTCCTTTCTTTTATAAGCACTTTAGCATTTTGGCAAATAAAAATTTTTCTACGGAGAGTAAGAAAAAAAACTATTAATAGAAAAAAAAAAGTATTTAACTAAACATAAATCAAATTTGGCGTCTTTTCACTTGCACTTTGGGAGTCTATTAAAATGAACCAAAAAAAAAAGTAATTTCCGACTGGCCGTGATCGCGCGGTCTTTGGCGTGTGTAATTGTGTAATGAGCGCAAGGAGAGCAATGACAATGACAACTCCGAAACAAACAAAAAGGTGTTACCTTGCCACGACCATAGATGGCGCTTGTGTACCATTAATCTACTTCTAAAGAGAAAACAAAGATTCTACTACTAAATGTAAAACCGAATCTACTACTAAATGTAAAACCGAATCTACTACTAAATGTAAAACCGAATCTACTACTAAATGTAAAACCGAATCTACTACTAAATACAAGGGCTTGAATTATACTACAAAATAAAAATGAAATTATAAATAAATGAAAGTAAAGTTATTAATATTTGCGTAGTTGTTAAAAGTTTAAATTAGGTTGTACCAGATCTTACAACCAACCAAATAAATAAAATAAATAAAATAATAAATAACTCTAATTCCCACGTCTTTCGGATCACTGCAGTTCTATCAGGCGGAAGTAGCAGCGATGTAGCAGCCCCCAGACCACTTACTTACTTACCATTGCCCGATTTATATATCCTCGAAGCGGCACTTAAGGCCCTTGACTCTAACATAAACACCTTCACAATAATCAATGATCGCCGTTGATATATGTATTTATAAATTAGCCCAACAGGTCAGTGTTACCTTCATATAGCAACCGGGACATCGAAATATTGAGGGGAACTGATTACAGCCGAACTGGCAAGAAAGGAAACTAGCACACACATCTCTCCTGGAAAGTACGGATTCGGTATGCCGCTAGTCTTCTTCAGGCTTCGACATGTAACCATGCAGGGATAAGGACCCAGCAGTGCTGGGAAAGTACAAATCTGTGGACAAAAGAGATCTTAAATTTATTAAAGTGGAAATAATAATGCAATAACTGAAATCTGAAAATAAAAGAGCACGACCATTGAAAATGCATAGGTTTTGAAAGAGTTTATTTATTTTCACCGTATTTATTCAAATGTGTATGTCTTGCCAAAGATTTGTTGGTTTCTTGGTTTCTTCATTCATTCAATCGTTTTTGTATTTCTCTAATAATATAACGTAGAATATATAAATGTCATTGCTAATGTGAATCCGATCGACAATCGATTTTTATTCTTATGATTGATGATGTTCGCGAGCTGCCATTGCGGCTGAGCTGCTGAGCCCAGTCAAGCGGTTAAAAAGGGTTTTGTAGGATTTATAAAAAAGAGAGCTACTACAACAATTATGTATTCGTATTTAAGTTCTTGTTACGCTTGTATGTACGATTATGTATGTATGTTTGTATGAATGTGTGGATGTATGTGGGTCTGTTTTGAATGTGTTATGCACGCACTACAAACGTCTGTCTCGATTACATAAATTTGTTTTCTTTCAGTCTTGCCATCCAATGCAGCAAATTGCTCAAAATCGCTCAACTTCTCGTTATCCATCCATCAGTTCAATGCATAATGCTGGGCTTAGTAGCAACAGAGTAAAATTCCCTGCTTATATCTAAATACTACAAGGTTATATAGCCTGTGTTTAAAAATTGTTTCTTTGTCTTTGTCATTTTTTTAGTTTTATAATTACTTATAATTTTGCTTTCGCATGTGCCATTTAAAGTTCTACTACTTATGCGGTTTGAAACTGTTAAATTCTATTTTTGAGTAATTGCAACTGCTAGGGGATTAAACATAGACACCAAAATTCAAAAAAATATTGTTGGGGTTTGCGAATGAAGTCAATGGGACAACAACATTCCAAAAAACCATTTTGGAAACCGTTTAGGGATGTGTTGTCCTATATACATTATGCGTAATAAGTGACTGGAATTTCCATCATTTTGAATGCAACGGAACTCAGAAGTATTCAATTCTATATCAGAAACATTAATACGCTAAAAACGCACTTCGATTACAAAATAAAGCTTTAATTTTGTGGCATGTTTCTTGTTCCTAACAAATACTTTGCTATAGAATTGATATCGTCGGTAAAATTCTGTAAAAACTGTTCCTGAAAGTCGATTCAGATTACAAGAGAACACAGAAGAATTTGCATGTGTGTCCGTAGCTTTTGTTTTTTATTTGCTTTCCAAGATATTAATGTTGCTGAAGTAAAAAGGGAATACTCTAAAGTTTCCGCACATCCAACGTGTAGATCCGAAATGTTTCGGTGTTTGTCCATTTACTTATTACGCATGTTTTACTTATTTCGCTCGCCCTATATGCATAATTCGTTTTCTTATTGCGTTTTTATGTTTTTCGTTATATTGAAAATTGCATTGCTTTACTGTTTTTTTCACTGTTTTTTAACTGCTTTTTCGTATAATCTCTTAAGTTTTTCTTTCAGCCAAAGGCCTACGGGCGGCATTCTATGGCGCTCATCCGATATACTTACATACATAACCAAAACTGCGCTTTTTTAAAAAAGTTGTGCCTCAACTTATTTTGCTTCTTACTCGTAATCATCGTCTTATTCTGATTCTTCTGCTTCTTCTTCTTCTACATCGTCTTGATCAACAAAAATCCCTGATAATGCTTATGACTTTCAAATTTGTTCAGCTAAGTATATATTATATCTATGCCTTATATATTTGGTTTAAAGGACTTTTTTAATATTGTATTGTGTGTTTCACCTTAATGATAAAAATTTTAAAACTCTATAAGCGAATTGAATATTGCCTCATTTTAGTTTCTTCATCTTCTCCATCTCATTTCTCTTCCTCTGTTTTATTGTTGCTTACTTGCCAACTACTATAAATTGTTATACATTTTATTTGTTATCACACCAATTGTATATGCTGGCGGGTAGTTTCATGTTATGTGTTTATGCCTTAAACAAATATCGGCCAAAATAGAGTGGTAGAGTTGTACTGAAATATTTGCTAACAGTTTTCCTCACTCGTACATTATGTTGATCCATACTGTTTACAAATATTTTAGTTTACATGTGGTAGGGAATAGTCCATATGTTCGGAAAAAAAGCTCATAAAGTATAAAATATTTTAAATTCTTGACATATTCCTCATAATGTTTGGAATCATCGAAAGGAACCTTGAGAAGTTAGCAGCTCCCCAAAAATATAAAAGCACAGCAGGCTAAATATATTCAAACTGACATCAATCGATCAAATCAATACTAAAATAACACTAATCAGTACTATTACTAGAATTTCATATTATTGGTATTTATTACTATTAGTATTTATTAGAAGTAGTAGGTTTTAGTACCACTACTAAGATTTGTAATTAGCAGCAAGTTTCCTTACTGGATATCTCAAGCAGCATGTTCTCAACATATCTGCATTGTTTTTGTTTAGCAACATGTTTCAGAAACATCAGTTAGGCAGCATGTAGCCAAGGTTAAGCAATAAATTGCAAATAATAATGTTTTCCAATCAAAACCTATCCTACCTTTGAAGTTTACCAAAAACAAATAGCAACAAATTTCGGTTCAAGCTGTTTTCTAACCTAATTCCTACCTAAGTTTGTAGAACTCTATCTCCTCCGCTATTATCGCCTTGCCCAACGGAAGGCAACTAACATTTGGTCAGGGATTTGTAAAATTCAGCCCCCAGTTTTAGTTGAAAACGAAGTCCATGATTGATTTTCATGCAATTGACTCCAAACGTGATTTATATAATCTACATAGGAGAAGTGATTTTTGTGCGTTTTGGACACTTTCGTCAATCTACAGCTGCTAAGTCTTATATGGAGAAATCTTCGATTTCCTACATCAAAAATAATTAAAATGGCGTTCGTTCTGAGTACTTTAGAAATGACGAAACCTACTCCATTATATTTAATAAAATTGCTGGGTTGGCTAAGAATAAGAGTATTGACTGGAAAGAATGAGCCCTCATTGTCTTCTGTGTCACAGACTTTACTAAAATGCTGGAGAAGGTCGTAAGACACAGAAGAATAATTACGCTGTTTGGGAATTCGAAAGAATGCAAGTTATTCCGAAAATAAAAGTAAAGTTAGAAAAATTAAAGCAATAATATATAGAGCCATTTTCAGATCTAAAAGACGATTCTGTTATCAACAATATACCGAAAACAATGTTTTCGCTTTCCAAAATCACTTAGTTACTAAAATGTTATTAAGAAATATGTCTATTTTAAATGGCACTCTATTTTGTCCGATATTGTAAATAGGAGTGTACATAGGTATATAGAAAATCTTATGCTATCATGTGCTGTATTCTCTTATTCGTACTCTTTCGAGTGGAAATTTATCGTATCTTTTGTGTGTGGTTCTGTGTTCCTTTATTGTTTATCCTTTATTCTCTGTGTTGTATCACCCTTGCGCTGCAGTGAAGCCTCTCTTACATGTCTATAACTATGAAATGCAAAGGTAGCTGCTCTGTTCGTATGTACAACAACAATAAACATGCCGCTGGAAGTTTCTTGCTTTACACCTATATACTCGTATATGTAAATGTATTTATATGAATCAGATCAAACTTTCCATTTGATTTATAATCATGTCTGTATATACAAATCAGCAACTACTAAACGGATGCTGATTCCGATTCCGATTCAGATTCCAATTCTTAGTTGTGTGTCTACGAAATATTTTGTAAAACATTTCGAGCGCTTCGAAAACTTTATCAACTAGTATCATAGCTATTTTGTGAGTATTGCTTCAGTTTTATACAGGGGGTTGGTTGTTGGTTTATAACTATCTTTAATTGCTATACCTATAATATCTTGACTTGATTGTTGCCCCTTCAAAGGGGGCTCGAATATGATGATAAGAGAATAATTGTAGTTGAATTAAAGAAATAAAATCCAAATAAAAACAAATACATCGTTCAGTTCAAATCAAAAAAGTTCTTGTATTAATAATTGTAACAAATCTCAAGAAGATTAGTAGACATCATCATCATTATCATCGCCATCATATCATCATAATTAAAATAAGGGTGTTATTGAAGTTCTCTACAGACTATGCAAATTTTAAATTTAATAAATTCATTCTAAATATTTTTGTATATAGTATCCAAACGATAATCATTTATGTATGTTCAGATATTTCGTTTTGACGAAAACCAAAATTGCACTTTTCAATTTGGGCATAAGTTCCTCTTCTTCTTCTTCTTCTCATTTTCTAGCTTTGTGAAGACGTTCAGAGCATATTGAGGACTAGAAATTAATATACAACTCTTGTGCCTTGAGCAATGCTGCTAAGCTAGTCAGTAACATAAGTATATATGGCTGGGTAGCAAGTACAAATGGGAAACGGAACTGGCGGACTTCTACAACTATTTACAAAAGTTCTCATGGTTCTCCAATATGCCTTTGAAAAGTGCAAATATGTGCGATGTGGGAAAATGAAATCAATTGCTCAGACAGGTAAACAGTTTTCACACAAACTTATAACTAAGTCGTGAAAATTGGACTCCAAATGCGTCTGCAATCTTGAGAATAAATTTGTGCGCAAATTGTTTGTCGCTCAGACAGGTAAACAATCAGTTTGCACAAAAACTTATAACTAAATAGATTCCAAAGACGTTTATTGTACGCCAATTGTTTGCCTGTCCGACCTAAGCTTAAGCTTAACTTAGATTTGACAAAAAAATCAGTTAATTACATGAGTTGCCAAAAACAATAGAGTAGAGTGACAAATACGAGAGATCGTGTAAAATTTTGAGGGCAAATGCGCCTCAGTTTGTTGTTGTTGTTGTTGTTGCTATTTTACAATACGCATATAACTGCTATGATTTGATTTGACTTGTTTGTTGATTGCCTTACAGCTAATAATACCTTATGTTTGCTCAATTGCATATAAGTAAGGTGTGTATATATAAGTATATGTACTACATATCTAATTTATTTATATATGTATAGGTATATAATATTGCAATTTTCAAATGTTCAGTTTCATCAGATTTGTTGGGGCATCATAGCCTACATATACATATGCGTGTGTGTGTGTGTGTGTGTGTGCATGTGGTGTGGGTGTGTATTTACAAATACAAATTGCTTATCTTCAATTGTTTACAATAATATTACATTTTGAGTTGTCATTTCTCAGTTTTTCGTCACTCATCGGACGTCATTTACAATGTTGTTCTATGTGGTATATATCATATAATTTAAATATATATATATATATATGTATATTTATGTGTGTATATCTTTATTATGTATACATAATACCATAGCTAATAGCTATAAAATATGACAGAGATTTCCTTCAGATTCATTTCCATTTACATTATGTATATAGAACTATATTTATGCATGTCTATGTCACTAAGCACATTATCTTGCTTGCTTTCCTTATTTCGTTTCGCATAAGCGTGTAAAAATAATTAGTTTCCTTGTGTGTTTGCTTACTTTTAAAAAAATAATATATATATATAAATATAATGTTTTTTGTTTGTGCAACGGCGGCGCCTGCTCTGTGCTTAATGTTTATGTGTGTGTTAATATGTATATGTGCCTGGTCTCATTGTCAATGTATTCGCCATTGGGCTTGACTATAAAGCCCGCAGAGTAGTAAAAAAATGCTTAAAGTAGCAGATTTATGATAAGCCTGATATTTCGGCAACATAGTTGATTAACCTTATGTTGCCAGTTACAAATGTTGCAATGATGTGTTTTAAAAAAACAGTTCCTTCATAATCAGAAAACAAGTGTTAACAAAAAAATTAAAATGAAACCGAATTTTCTTTTTACAGATGGTAATTCCCATACACAATTCTCAGTACAGCAACTAGCTATGTTTCAATATTACCAAAAAGAAACATAGTTTGAAATCATATTGTACAAACAATGGAAGCCTAGCAATTTGATTCCTAAGCAGATTTTATATTAAAAGTTGCATTATATTTTTTTAATTATACTGTTGTCGAATAAAAACTTATGTAAGCAACCAAATAGCTTGTCTTATGAGAAGACAAAAAAACTTGGGCAGAGCAACAAATTGTAATGCAAGCTGTTTCCTAAGCAGAACCTATGTACACGAGCATCACCTTGCCATATATTTGATTTCGTAACATGTTGCAATAGAAATTAGACTTGATCAACATATTGTCAATTGCTAGAATTGACCAGCTTGGTAGAAAATAAAACTATTTTTGTTCAGCAACATTTTGTTAGCCATGCAGTTTCCACAAGGAAAGTAGCAGCATGGTTTTGACTCTGGCAAGATTTATAAAAGGTACACGAATAGAAATAAAAGTGTAGCACGTATTGTTTTCTTTAGCAACATGTTGCCAATTGCTTGACTTGAACAAATTGTATAAAACGGAACTAATTTTGTTCGACTGCAGGTTGCAAATCATATTGTACAAACAATAGAAGCCTACAAACAACTTGTTTTCTCATCAGAAACTGCTGTATAAGCACCACGAATTAATCATTAAGTTTTACCAATTATTTCTGAGCAAACTTTCCATTCTGCACGCTTTATAGAATTCACAAACACACCCATTGGCTTGCTCTTCTAAAACAGTCCTTTGCCGCCGGCTAGTTTGCGTCGGCGGAATCACATGAGTCATCATTTGAGCGTGTTGTAAATGTTATCGTCGCCAGCCAGCTCCACGGTGGTGATGTGGACGCGATCGCGTGGCAAGGCAGCAGCCGCAGCGGCGGTGGCATGGCGCTCTCCCAAAGGCTCCTCGCCCAAATAGACGGTGTGGTATGAAATGGCGCTGGCTGCCGATCCATTGATCTCGACACGACTCACCGATTGCGGTCCACTGGGATATCGAAGGGATGCGTAGTCTCCATCATCGTCTTCTGTGGCTTTCGAAATGCTCGTTAGTTGGGTGGCGCCTGAGAAGGTATCGCAAGTGCGGGAATTACGCATGCCGTTGGCACTATTCTCGTGACAGATTTCCGCATAAATGTTTTCCTTGGTGTAGTCCTGGGAGGGCAGAGCGGGACGCACGCCGCTAGCATCGTTGGGTTGTGTGCCGTTGTTCGATATGACCAAAGAATCTCGCACATTGGAGTAAGGTAGATCGTCCTCGACGAGTCTGCTGGGCAGAAGTAGAAAGCTGGGCGTTAGGCCGCCACCTCCCAACAGTGAGACGCCACCAGCTGCCCGTCTGCCAGTGACAGGTTCACCAATGTTGAACTCAGTCATGGCCGTGGCCTTGCTCTGCTGCTGGGCCTTATGCTGTGAGAGCTTCCGCCTCTCGCATTCTTTTTCGTGGAGCTGCATCTTCTGTGGTAGCGAAAAATTCAACAATTGATGCAAGCTGGATGAGGATTTGCTGTATTGGCGCGTCTTCACATGGAACTCATTGAAGAGCTTTTCGGTGATAAACGATTGACGCGGTGGCGTTTGGTTCTCCAGATCCTCCAGTTCGGTGCCAGCCTCGGAAATTGCATCGCCACCGCTTGTGTGATGTGTGGTCAGCAAATCGGGTTTACGCTGCCCATTCAGCAGTTCGATGTCCTGTAGGGACAACGATTTGGGTAGAGCTCGTTCAATGGCTGTTAGCGTTGTGGTCTCTGTGTCCGAGCAGCCCACCTCCGATGTGCCAGCGCTGTGCAAGGAGAAGGCTTCATGCTCGTGATGTTCTCGCTCCCCTTGCTGGGCGCAAGCATCGCCGAAACGCTCCTGCAGGAGCTTTGACATGTCCGTATAGCGTTCCATGCTCATGCGCTTAGCCTGTACATCCAGTTCTAACTCTGTTCGCTGTTTCTCCTGCTTGCGGAAGAACAATTTTTTCTTTTTGGTTTGGAAAACTTTCATACGGTCTGTGATGCAATTCGAGCTGCCGGATTCGACGCTGGTTAATGCCGCTGCTGACCCTGAGGATGCCGCTTCCTTTGCCTCCAGCTGCTCCAAATCCGTTTTACTAAGGAATATAATAGAATCCTCTTTCTCGTGCGCCGGTATGGTGGTCTTCTCCCGTCTCAGCAGCTTGGGTAAATGCAATATTTTCAGTCCATCGACACGGCTTTTGGAGCCGGAACGTTCGGGACGCTGCACCTGCTCGATCTCCACCAGTTTTAGAAACTGATCGCAATTAAATTGACAAAATTTGAGCATATTCTGGACATTGGTATTCGCTAGCATGCGCTGCTCCCCATCGAAGCCCAAAAAACTGTTCATTAGTTGCATCTCCTTGGTCAGATAGAGCTTACGTAGCTGTAGTGGGCCTTGCACCTCCACATCCTCGATGGGGCAGCCAATGACCACATCCTCCTTGCTCACATGACTGACGCACACTTGCTCAGGTATGTCGTGGGCGCAACTGCTGGGACCCGAAATGTAACGTAGTGTCAAAGGCAGCTGCTCGGCAGCGCTCACCAACGAGCCGAGACGATACACACACTCTGGATTCAACTTGCGATTGACTTGCCCCACCTTTTGCAGCAGCTGCGGCACGCCGGGCTCGATTTCATAGAACTTGCCCTTGGTGGCCATTGGCACATAAATGACCTGACGATTCTCATTCTGCAGCTGCGCGTAGCGTCCCTTTTCCTTTTCACGTCCCGTATAAACACCATGAGCCTTAGCCGCAGCACTCGCATTGCTTCCCTTCGTCCCGCCATTCTGTTCCTGCTTCCCATCCTCAAACACAGCCAACAACTTGAAAACATGTCCACCTCTGGCCGTCGTCTTTACATATTGCGGACGATTCTTGCTTGAGCTTCCGGCTGTAGTGTAGCTGGGCAGGCAGCCCTCGTGCGTGGGACTGCTAGCACTGGGCGGCGATTCCATATACGCGGCCATATTGTCCACTGAAACGAATTTGTAGACACATTCCCGCACCAACTGCATTAGGGAAGTGTACTGCGTGGCCATCGGTAAACCCTTGTCGTTCAGCATCGAGAAGTAGCCTGCAGGGGGAGGGGGGAAAGAAACGACAGTGGAGGAATTAGAAACATACAGTCTTTCACAATTTAAACTTACAACAATATTTTGATTAAATTTTCCAGAAATTTCACAATTTAAATCCTCAAATTTATTATTTAATTCTCGATTTTCCATCGCTTAGGTCTTGGTATGAGAATCGCAGAGGAGGGCGCCCACAATATTTTGAATTAATTTATCAGAAATTTCAAAATTTAAATCCAGAAATTTATTAAATTTTTTAGAAAATCTCCAATTTAATTCTCAATTGGCCAGCGTCTAGGTACATAGTGTGAGAATCGCAGAGGACATCAAAAATATTTTGATCCAATTTATCAGAAAATTCACAATTTAAATCCAGAAATTTATTATTTAATTTTTAAGAAAATGTCCAATTTAATTCTCGATTGGCCAGCGCTTAGGTCTTGGTATGAGAATCGCAGAGGAGGGCGCCCACAATATTTTGATTTAATTTATCAGAAATTTCACATTTTAAATCCAGAAATTTATTATTTAATTTTTAAGAAAATGTCCAATTTAATTCTCGATTGGCCAGCGCTTAGGTACTTGGTATGAGAATCGCAGAGGAGGGCGCCCACAATATTTTGATTTAATTTATCAGAAATTTCACATTTTAAATCCAGAAATTTATTATTTAATTTTTTAGAAAATGTCCAATATAATTCTCGATTGGCCAGCGCTTAGGTACTTGGTATGAGAATCGCAGAGGAGGGCGCCCACAATATTTTGATTTAATTTATCAGAAATTTCACATTTTAAATCCAGAAATTTATTATTTAATTTTTTAGAAAATGTCCAATATAATTCTCGATTGGCCAGCGCTTAGGTACTTGGTATGAGAATCGCAGAGGAGGGCGCCCACAATATTTTGATTTAATTTATCAGAAATTTCACATTTTAAATCCAGAAATTTATTATTTAATTTTTAAGAAAATGTCCAATTTAATTCTCGGTTGGCCAGCGCTTAGGTACTTGGTATGAGAATCGCAGAGGAGGGCGCCCACAATATTTTGATTTAATTTATCAGAAATTTCACATTTTAAATCCAGAAATTGATTATTTAATTTTTTAGAAAATGTCCAATATAATTCTCGATTGGCCAGCGTTTAGGTACTTGGTATGAGAATCGCAGAGGAGGGCGCCCACAATATTTTGATTTATTTTTTAAAAATCATCAGAAATTTCACAATTTAAATCCACAAATTTATTACGCCTTATTTTACACTGTCTTTTTTACACGGTTTTGATTTAACACTGTTTTGATTTAACACGGTTTGAAAATAAATAAATTTATATATGGTGGCACGACTTTATTCCATTTAGCACGATAAAAGTAATATAGTATATGATCAATGTTTTTTGTACACGACTTTTTCTGGAACCAGTCTACCGAGTAAAAACATAATTAGGTGTATTTAATTTTTTAGAAAATTTCCAATTTAATAATCGATTGGCCATCGCGTAGGTACTTGTTATGAGAATCGCAGAGGAGGGCGCCCAAAATATATTTTTGTAATTTATCAGAAATTTCACAATTTGATTTCAAAATATTATAATTTCCTTTTTCAGAGATTTACATACATACATTCAATATACATACATATGTATGTAAGTAGTACGTGTATGGTCACAGTATGTATTGTACTATATGCCCTAGCTTTCGGAACGTACCAAAGTAATTTGCTATTGGCAGCTCCTTTAGAAACTTTAGAGAGCGTCGAAAGAGAAATATCATATTGTAAATAAACTTATAATTTTCAGCAAAAATACTGAGCCAATTAAAGATGGGCAAGACCTGCTAGTGGTGTTATATATATAGTGTTTATAAAAAGAGTTTGCTTTTCTTCTTAAAGAATATAGTTTATATTAAAACGCACCCTGTCTCTAGAGGTGTCGTGCAATAAAGAGAATTAATCAGATTGATTGAAAAACTTTGTTGTAACAAAAATCAAGATCTGCTTTCATGCCCGGCTCTATCTAACCTGAACAATCGCAATCACTTGCATAACATTGGTTGTGTTGGCGCCCCCAGTCTGTGAAAACTCACATGGCCCGAAGCGCCAAAACAATGGGCGATGGGGTAATCTATTGGGCAAATGTGCATAGCAGAAACAATGCTACGAAGCACATACCTACATACATATACGAGTATATGCGACCATTACATAATTACTTTTGATTTGTCACCAACCTGTAAATTCCTGGGGTATGAGCACCGATTTCTTGCGCTGTGACGCTTGCGACTTGGCATTGAAGCAATGATAGATGAGACGTTGGCGGACCAGCCGGTAGAGCAGGAAGAGTTCATCATGCGTGGGTGGCTGAGTTGAGTTAGTGCCGCTGTTATTGTTATTATTATTGTTGTTGTTGTGACTGTTGACAGCACCAGCGCTGCCGCCGCTTGATGATGTATTGGTGGCCGTATCATTGTTACCCGTTGGTTTGCTCAAACCCACCGATGAGCTGCTGGAGGCTGCCGTGGAAGAGCCATGCGACGAGCTCGACTGAAGAGTCTCATTCAGCTGTTTACGGACATAAAAGAGCCGGACCACACGCGGCAATGAGTAACGGGATAGAAATACATCCGCCGGCAGGGGTTCCTGTTGGGACTAAACGCAAAGTTAACAAATGTTGACTGAAATACTCAGTAAGATTATGTTCAGACTATGGGAAATATTTTTAGAAACATTAAACATGTATGTTCATATGTTCGTATTGCTACTTCATAATTTTTAAAATCGTTATTGTACCGTGAAATAAAGGTGTTATATTCCTGACAGTAAGACGGTATTATGCAACTGTTTTTAAAATGAATGAACGAGTCGATACATCCGTTTAATTGTCCCTTCTGTTTGTCTGTTTAAGATCCAAAATATTGGAATTTTGTTTGGTAACTAATTTCAAAGCCATGCTAACAGTTCTTCAATCCCTGCTGCTTCCTGTTTTTATTGAAATGTGTAGTATGCACTCTACTATGGACTTTTCAAACTATCTTAGTAACATGTAACAAAGTTAATTTAAATATTATTTAAATCGGTTAATCAAACTCGGTTGTTAAGCTTTGATTATCCATTGGAAATCAAAATTTTGGATAAGTTCTATGCGTTTTGAACATGTACGAATTTCAATAAAAAGAACTGCGTTTCTCATAGTCTGAACAAGTTAGAAGCCTTCAGTAACTCACCTCGCTACTGCATTTCGATGCCTTGCTATCACCAGTGGAGTAATCGCCGCTGCCATTGAGACCTCCACAGAAATTGTTGTAGCCGGCATAGCCAGCACCTAATCCATAACTGCCATTCGCATTGTTGAGCAGACGTCGAGCTAATCTCTGCTTGAGTTCGTTCTCGTTGCGTCGGGCCAGACGGGCGTTCTCAAAGTCCGACACCGAGAACATGTTGGAGCTGGTGTCGTGGGAGGTGAAACACCAACGTTTCGGCTTGCGCCCCTCGCCGGTCATACGGGCGTGATGTCCACCCGACGGGGTACCTGTAAAGCAACAAAAACAACGACATCAAATAAAAACTAAAGTAACACACTTAGGCATATAAGAGTACACAATAAACAACACAATACGTTCGTAATGATGATGTGATATATCTAATTGTTGCTTTTTGTTCTGCAATGGGAAAAACCCACACACACACACACTCTACTTACACATATGTATGTGTGTATATACACCATATACACACACACACTCGCAAAATTCATTCAGCGCAACGAGTGGCAAACTTTTCTAGACTGTTGCTAAGCGTTGAAAGTTTCAGCGACGGCACAGTGGGATTAAATGAAAACTATTTAATGATTTCGAAAAGTTGTGATTGGAATAGTTGAAGATAAGTAGAAAAGAAATGCCAACTATTCCGAATTCTTTTGGAATGTCGAGCTATCGAGGATGGTATCGATTGTTCTTTTTAGAACCGGTATACCTATCGAAATCAAGATACAGAAGAAGAAGCAATTGATGCGTGCATACATTGAGAAATAAAGGGTATTTTCTAGTCAAGTCTAACAATTACCAAATGCTTTAAACTACAATATTTAACGGAAGCCAGTCGATCCTAAGCAACGTATTACAATTTTAATCGACTCACGGCCACGGAACGTAAAGAAGATGGAAACATCTGAAATGGCTAATGGAAAACTTGGGTGTGGTGAAAAGGAATCACCACAATATGTCTTATTTATAATTATTATATTATTATTTAAAAGAACTTAAATACCGGAACTGGGCCCTCAAATGTGAAATGAATCACTCAAGATTTGGAATCAACTTATCCTTTTGTTACGTAAATTATGAAGCAGAAGTCTAACACCATGCTTTATCTTTAAAAACATTCCAGGGGCGGAGCACTTCTTCTAGACCTCAAACTCTTTTTCAATATCTCAATATTATTTTAATTGAATGTCGTTTTCAATTTTGAGCATGCTATGCATATGAATGTTAAACAACCAATTGTGATTATTAACTGTGATAATGGGAGCCATTGCTTTAAATTTAAGCCGAAGAGAATGCTATTTATGATTAAAATCCTTTTAAATATTATGTATTGTATACATGTACATATGTATAAATATAATTTATAACTTTATATTACAACTTTATTTAACGGAGATAACATAAACATTAATAGGAACATAAATATTTCAAACATTCCAACCCATAACAAATTTTACTAAAATATTTCGCAATTTCAAAATTGTATAACAAAATAGGAAACACGAATTCGACGATTTCTTATCAATGAGTCATGTTGCTGAAATACAATGAATCGGTTGTTGCTTTGGGTCTCGCCGAGCGAGCGAGCTGCTAATATTACTGTTGCTATGGGCATAAAAAATGCAAGCCACAAGACTGTAAATTCTTATTAGCAAATGCATTTTTATTTTTAAACAGAAAAGACAGCTAAACACTTTTTTAAGTTCGCAAACCAAAAGGGATACCCCGAAAATTTGTCAGCAATTTCATTATGTACATGTACATACTATATGTATAAAGTAACATTTGTGTGTAAATTAGTTTTCAATTTGAATTTTTCCAACAAGTAATAGAGATGTTTCAAATATATATACGTGAGTACACAAATAAACCTTTTGAACGTACAAGTATATGGTTATAATATAATGACATCAAGAGTGACTGAGATAGTTGGTGGTTCAGGTTTCATTTTATAGGAACTTGTTATCAAGAAAATAATGCAATAATGATGTACATACCCTTACAATACGTACATTACAATTGCTCTGATATTTGTATACGAAATGTTTTAAATGGAGACTCACTTGAATATTGCAATATGTATAGGTATAAATACCAAATCTTAATCATACAGGGCTACTATATCAGATAGCTGTAATGGAAACGATACGGCTTATAAAGATTTCTTTAAACAAAATATTTCATGAACTAAATTGCACATTTAGAAGTCTGTTGATGATACAACTTTTTATCGAACTACCATCATTATTAATTAATTAATTTTAATTGTAATAGAACATACAAAGCTAATTTTCTAATCCGACAGAGACTCATTTATTTACCATCCAGAGATTTCTTCTTTTTAAATAGACAGAGCTCTATTGAGAGCACTAGGTGAGAAAGGAACGATCGATGGGTTTACTAAATCCACCCCGACTAAATGCTATTAATGTGTGTTTTATTTAATGTTACAATACAAGTATACTTGTATGGTAACCAGAACACATATCAGATGGCTGCCATAGATAATATCCGGATAAAAAAGAGTTCATATCAGAAAAACATAATAAATAGTTGTGATAGCAACAGCACGTGAGAAAATAAAAATGGAGAATCACATTGGCGAGGGTATATAAGCTTCGGTGATTTAAAAGTTATTTTTGGAACAATGTCACCAGTAAAATTAATTACCGCAATAAAATAATTCTTTGCCATTGAGACTACAAATTTGTTTGGTTGTTGGTTTAGCAATCGATGCAGTTATGTGCAGATTCTCCTTCCCTCTGCCCACAATTCATGCCCCTCAGCAACCGAGTGATAAATTGGATGCTAAAATAGATTTCTGCTGATTTGCCAAGATTGGCTCCACTGTAGTGCAGTCTCGCCAGGTCGCCACTCGGTCGTCAGTTCAGTCGGTCGGTCGGCAAGCTCATTACTCACTTTAATTGCGCTCAATTGGCTTAATTTTTTTATAATAAATACAGCGGCAGTAATGGCAGTAGCAAAGAGCGAACGCAAATCACAGTGAAATTGTTGTACAACAACAACAAAAGAAACAAAAAAATGAAACGAAAACGTTTTGAAATTGTGCTTATCTTTGTGAAATATCAATTGCAATAAATACAACAACAATGACAACAACAAACATTGTGTCCAATGGGTAATGAGGTTGGTCTCGGGGGAAAGCGGGGTAAGCAAAGCGAAGACGCTCGTCACGTTTCGTGTGAAATTACGCGAAGCGGCGCGCGCCTAGGCAACAAACTCAGCCAAAAACAACAACAATGTTGTAGCAAACATTAACCAATACAAATGCATTTGCATTTGACTTCTACGTCAATGGGCAACGAGCAAAATCGCAACCTCATCAGAGATGGGCAAAGTGTGCACTCACGCCAAAAGTCCTCACGAAACTGAGTTTTCCCACACACCTGCGTGCATTTAGTGGCGTTTTTTCTATGACTAATTTAAAAGTTTGTACTATGTTTTGGATTATTCACATAGCTTTTATAGATAAGCTCTCGTTTTGCAATTATTGAATAATATTAAAATGTAACAATTTTGTTTGCAATAAGTTAAAATAACTTTTGTCATTTTGAAAACGACATCTATTATTAATATCAAGTTACGATCCGTCTCAAATATCAAATATCCATCCAAATATTCTCTTTCAACTTTTATACATATGTATGTTAACAGTAAAATAATAAAGCGTTCGAGCACATAAACAGTATCACACAAGTACGCCTCTTTATACTCTGTACATGAAATGTACAGAAGTATATTAGGTTTGCGGGAGCTGAAAAATGTAACAGGCAGAAGGAGGCGTGGCAGACCCCACAAAGTATATATATTCTTGATCAGCATGACGAGACGAGTCGATCTAGCCCTGTCTGTCTGTCTGTCCGTCTGTCCGTCTGTCCGTCTGTCCGTCTGTCCGTCTGTCCGTCCGTATGAACACCTGGATCTCAGAGACTATAAGAGATAGAGACACCAAATTTTGCACAAAGATGCGTTATGTGTGTATTCTATACGAGTTTGTTTTATTTTTTTGATTTTCCCCCCCACTTCCCCCCTATGGGGGTTTTCCCGATTTTCCATTCGTATAATCGCCTATATCTCGGAGACTATAAGACCTAGGAACACCAAATTTTAGTCCCAGATGCCTTATGTGAATACGCAGAAAATGTATATTTTGGAATTCCCCTCCCTCCCCCCTCTACCCCGCAAATCGTAACTCCCGTAATTCTTGGAATTTCGAACTAAAATTTTGGAAATACCCCCAGTTGGTTATTATGTGTCCGTATGCCAAATTTCATTATGATAGACCGATTTAACAAGAAGTTATAGCCATAAATATATTTGCTGATGCAGCGCTGCTGCAGCGCTGCTCAAGCGCTGCCCGCGGCTGTTGTTGATGTTGCTGTTTGGTTGACTGCGAAAATGCTTACACAGACACGAATTGATGCGCATAGGCATACATACACTCACACAGACGCAATTGCTATGTAAATGTGCAATTATACACCCTTTACGTGAGTTCGAATACCGAGAGAGGTAAAATCGATCAAATTTTTTTTTTTATTTTCTTAATTTTTTTATTTTCTATAATTATTGTAAACATATGTACAGAGTATTTCAAAGTCGGGACACCCGACTTTAGCTTTTTTACTTGTTTTTTTTTAATTTTTCTCGTTGGAAACGTGGTTTATAGTTTTATGGTTTTCACTCAAATTATGTATTCAGTTTTCTTGCCCATTGTTGTCCGTCCATTCTTTTATAACTGTTAGAGGTAACGATCACGTGGAACCACCACCTCTAGCACTGCACATTCACACATCTGCTCTCGCTCTTTCTCTCTTTCAATCTCTTTCTTGTGATGATTCTCTCTGTTTGGCCGCGCGTGCTGTCCCAGTGTCAGCGTACGTAGTACAGGCGGCCCCCACCCACCCCTGACTCTTACCGTTACATGCAGCTGCACCCGCTGCAGCCGCGCTGTTACCGGGCGCGCCTTGTTGCACTGCTGCTGCTGTTGTAGTTGTTGTTGTTGCTGGTGCTGGCGTTCCTGTTGTTGTTGCTGTTGTTCCAGTGCCTGCTGTTGCGTTTGCAGCTGCAGCAGCCATGTGCGGGCTGCTATTTACCAGCCAATTGGCCAAATGACGTCGACGTTCGAAATCAATGTTAGTGCGGTGCATTTCGGCCAATTTAAACGAATCGGTCATGTTACAGCGACACTTAAGGCGACTAACGGCGATTTACATACGCGCTTGACCACTGCTTCCACTACGAGCGTGGAAAGCAACTCGCGTCGTCAACTGTCAAAAGCGTACTGAGTTGGAAAAAAAAACTGCAACCGTTGATCGTTCGAGACGCGTTGTCGTCGCTGCTGCTGCTGCTGTAATGAGAGAAAGAGAAGAGAGAAAATGAGAGACACGCAATGGATTTTCGTGGTTGCTTGTGCGTGTTGAGAGAGCAGCACAGCGCTCTAACTTACATAAGTGAGCGCTAATATAAATACAAACAAAAACGGAAAAAATGTGCAAAGCAAACGTGCAAAAAAAGGTGAGCTGAAGCAACAAAAGAAATGTTGCCCATTTAGCTATTTTCCCATCAGTTCTGGATATATCCAACTGCAGATTGACGGGATTCGTAACTTGTTTCAAGTTTGTTTTTTGTATTGCTAGGCCTTTTACTGTAATACAATCTACTATATACATATGTCCATACATACAAACGTATGCATTAATATAAACTTTAACATAATCGTTTCATTTATAAATTTTTTTATATTGAGATAAAGAACTTGTAACTCAGAAGAAGCATGCGAAGGAGCGTAAGGAAACAAGATACCGAACCGATCATATTACTAGTCAATTATAACGAGTCTGGAATGAAATTACATATCGTAATACATAAATATTCTTTAATATTTAGGATCGTAAAGTAAATAAATAAACCAATCAGATAAAGCTTAAATCTATTGTATTTTTTATTTTGTATAGCATTGCCATTATATTTAGCCTTTTCTAGCTTGTTTCAATTGCTGATCTAGCTTTTTCTGGCACTCAACAACGGGCAGTACTGAACAAAAGCAACACGCGCGCAGTAATTCAGTGAGAACTTTTTATTGTTGTGTTTGCACGTGTGTACACATGTGCGTGTATGGTGCGTGTGTGTGCTCTGCTGTGCATAAATTAAGCATTGCCATAGTAGAAACGCAACTCTGACAACGATGATGATGACGACAGCACGTTATCACAAAACGATGAGACACTGCCGCTCTTTGCCTCACCACAGCGCTACACAGACTCATACTCACGCACCCAAACACATACACCCTCAGTGCTTACACAGCTCAAACAAAAAGCTTCTCGGGTTGGTGTCGCTGGCTCGCTCAGCCTGAGCGTTCGTTCAATGTCGTTTCTGCCGCACCTTTTGTTGTTGTTGCTGCTGCTTCTGCTCGCTTGCAGCGCCACCCGCTTAAGCGAGTCGCTACGTCTAGCAGTGACAGTATTATCAACACTTGGCCGGCCGGGGTGGTCAGGGGGCTGCTTGATGGTTACATTTCGGTGGGCGTATGGCTGGCGGTGGCGAGCGGTGCGGTTAGCTGGCAAGCAGGCGGCAGGCAGTTCGCGGTTGAACGTTCTGCATGCTTTGTCTTTGTTTTCACAAAATAAATAAATGTACATTTATACATACAATGTATGTTCATATGTATGTATAAGTACATATGGACGAACATACAATATATGACTTATAGCTTCATTATATACAATACAAATTTTGCAATGCACGAAAGGGGGCCAAATAAATAAAATTAAGTAAATGTGTACATTCGTACATATGTAAACGTGTGTATGCATTTAGTTTCTGTGTATATCGGCGTGTTCATGCGAGTATGTATTCTTGATTAGCAAGATGACGCAAAATGATCAAGGAAGGTCTGTGATGCCAGCTAACTCTTTGGCAATCTAAATTTGGCAAATATATTGACAGTCCACAAATTTATTTTTCTAAACATACTCTCAGTTATAGTTGGGTTGCTAGATTATATGGAAAGACAGGAACAATATTTTTGAAAAATACATTTTTCCTTTTAGTTTTGCTTTGTTCCCTTAATAAACAGTTAAAACAGTTAAATTTAATAAACAGTTAATAGTTAAAATTGGCAGAGTGACTTTTGAAAACATGATTTGTTATAATTTTATAAAACTATAATGAAAGCTTTCCAATATTAGGATAGTTAAAAATATTAGTTTTTAAATTTTTGTTTAATATCTAACTGTGATAAGCTACATTTGGATTTTTTTGGGGTCGTTAAAGGCTTGTGTTTTATAAATTGCTAGTAAAAATATTTACAAACTTAAGATTCAGAGTACTCATTTAAAGTTTTTGCAAATTAGCAAACGGTTGCCTGAACTTATAAAGGAAACTGTTTTGGAACTCAAATTTCAGAGTATTTATAAGTTTACAATATCATTAGTACTTGTCAGAGGAACGTTTGCGACATAAATTAAATTTTAGGAAATATTTTGAAAACCATCATAAGCGAATTTTTGAATTATGAACGAAATTATATAAGTAAAAATTCATTTGAAGAACAGCGAACATTTCAACTGTATGAATGTATAAACAAGTATGTAAATATTTGAATAGACAGCGTAAAAGTCGAAAGTGAAAATGAACAATTTTTATTATATACTCATCTCGCACATATAGCCAATTTCAGAATAAACTTACTGAGGAAGTGCAGAAAGCTTGTGTGTATCTATAAATGTATGTAAACGTAAGCTATTAGGGTGCACGTGGCATATAACAATTAATCATAATCAAGATTTGTAAAACTCGAGAAGCCCAATGTTGTTTGTATGTCAGTGCACCCACCCGCCAATAATGCACCCACACAGTCCACTATGTGTGAATTGAATTCAAGGCCAAATGCCAAATGCTTGTGAATTTTACGAACCCAGATAAAAATCAAAGCGCGTGGAGGGAACCAAATGGGTGCACTTAAACGATTTTGCCATATATACATACATAAAAGAGTACATATACAAATATATACATACGTACAATGGATACATTTTTAGAAAACTTAAGCCGCAATTAAAAATCCATTCATTCATTAGGTAATGAGTTGGCATATTTTGAAATTAAATTAACAACTTTTGAATAATTAGGATATTTTTTTTATACTAAATTGACCATTTTAAAAGCATTGCGTTGATTTTCTGGAATTTAACACAATTGGTTTTTATTTTAGATGTTAAATACTTTTGAAAGAAAAAAGTCCCCAGTAAATATGTTACTAACACTCCGGTCATGATTTTTATTTTAAACATGAAATATATTTGAAAGAAAAAAGTCTTGATCATTATCACTTTGGAACACTTCAATCAAAATCCTTGAAATAATAATAGAGGTTCGAAATGCTAATAAAAGAAAACCGATTCCAATTACTTAGTATTAAATAAAAGGTCTGCAGTAATTTTTCCAATTACCTTCATACTTGGTTCGTGTACTCTAAGAAACTTTTTTTAAATTAAGTTTTAGTTTTAGTTGCAATTGCATTTTACCTTTTGATTGAGGGTGCAATTTTTAATTTCTTTATGTAACATTCAATATTTCTTCAAAACGAGGAAACACTGTGTGGGCAAAACAACTAAATTAATTCAAATGCAAAAAAAAGCTGAAAAATGTAAACAAAATAGAGTTGCGAACTTTCACCCAATTATATGCCAACGAATTTTTTTGTGGTTTACTTCCAATGATTTCTTTATTGTCTTTAACGTTTATTTAATTACACAGAATAATTACACTTCAAATAATTGACGAATCGCAGAGCCTTTGCAATTAATTTTCAGATTTTTGATATTTTTTGCGATTGTCAAATTTCAAATGTTTAATGACCCAACAAAAGGAAATAAAAAGTGCCGAGAAATTTGTACACATTATATATAAGTACACATATAGATTTAAATATATGCGTAGATACATACGTATATGGCAAATACATACATATATGTACATATATACATATGTATGTATATATGCATGCATATTCGATATATGAATGATTTAGAGTTTGTTGAATCTTTGTATCAGCTATGAAGTGGATTTGCATGCAAATGAATCAACTGATTTATTCTGAACTGAATTTTATTAACGACTTGTGAAACGATGTGTTTCACATTAGCTACCTGAATATTTCTGCTCTTTTTATTATCGCCGTCGCCGCCGCCTTCGCCGCTGCATTGAGTTTCAAAAGAGCATATCCACCTCGGCTTAATCGAGGGAATCAGGTATGGAGAGTGAGGGTGAGACTAAGAGCGAGAGCGAGCTCATCTAATATACTCTCAGCTAATTCTTTACAGTCTACACTAAAATTTAAAGGGTATATTGTTTTGGTGTGTGCGTTTGTAACATATGTAGATATATGATCAGCTTGATTGTTCGTCTGTCCATCGGTGTGTTCCAATCACTACTCTAGCGGAATAAGATCGAAATAAGATCATTAATTATGAACTTCCATAGCTAAAGCTGTGGGTCCATTTCTCATGCCTTTAACGTTTGGAAGCCTTATGCCTCGGCTAAGCAGCTGTCTTTTGCCGTAACTTCTTCGTACCCCTTTTGAAAGTAGTCATAGGAGTGCAGGAACCTCATTTAAAATTCGTTTTAGGCTTTGCAAAAGTAGAAACCAAGATACGGTAGTTAGCGCAATCACAAAGAAGGTATGTACGTGGATTCAGGTCATCGCACGCATTCAACGCACTAGAAGTTTTTAGAATCAGAGTCAAAAGCTCAAAAGACACACGAAACAGCCCTAAGCTGTTCAACAATTTATCAAGCACTTTAATTCGGTAACAGGAATATAAAAACAAAAGCACGACGAAATTCATATTCATATACTTTTGAAAATAAATCAAAAATGGTAACAGTTCCGAATATTCGAATTTTAGAGTATTTTTTAAATTGTTAACTATAAGCTTTCTTGTATCTTTTCCTTTATACTGACAGCCTTGGGTGTCAACAACAGAAAATAAATAAATACAATTTATACAAGTATTGGAATGAAACAACACATTGACAGTATTATTGTTATACCAGATGGTGTTATATTATTTATCGATCCCGATTGGTGGCTATGGCTGGCTAAATGCGAAACAAGCAAATGAAGTTTTCTTATCAAAATCGAGTATACCCTTATGTATACATTATACAGCGTATAATTATATACTAAATATTGTATGGACACAGTAGGGAAGGACTCTATTAAGACGCAGTAAAGAGTATATAACTTCGATGCAGTCGAAGGTAACTTCTTATTGTTGTTCTCGTTCCCTTCTACCTTTTCGTTTGTT